TCTTTCCCCGTAGGTGTGGTCCATCCAGATCAGGGATGAGGCAATATGACTGAGCACTGCTTTATGCAGTTCTAGGTTTTCTTCCATTAGTCAGGTACATAACACAAAATGTTTTCTGTAGCCCAACCTGAGGCTGAGCAAGCCTCCATGCTCTGATGTGCAGACCGACTCCCTTTGGAATTAGAAAATGGAGTCTTTTGCCATCACAACCATGATCAGTTGTGCTCCTCGGCATCCTGCCATAGACAAGAAAGCAGATTGTGTGCTGTGAGGAATGGGAAGATTCTGGCTTGAGAGATGTTTTTGTTTTTGTTTTTGTTCTTCAGGTTGAATCTCAGTTGTATCTTGGTTTCGTCTACTAAATGAGTTTCATTGTAGTCAGAGATCAAGTCTTGGTAATCTACGATTGCTTTGTAAACCTTGAAACATCTCAGAAAAGAAAGGGGAAAAATAGTAGAACAGCATAAAAGTTGTCTTTCATTTGCAAGAATTAAACTTTGGAAAAATCATAACTTGTATTGATGAGAACAGATCAAAAGGAATTGGGTTTGTGTTGTGTAGTGGAGAGAAGGTTGAGGGAGTGTCTAAGCCTTGAGCTTGTGAAAGGCTGTAGCAAAGAGTATAGTAATCTGTTTTTCTTTATGGCCACTCAGAGAACTGCACAAAATAGTATACCTACCTTGCAATAAGGATGATCCAGACTCTGTACTGAGAAGCGAGTAAATTTAAGAGTATTTAAGCCCTGGAGCAGATTGCTGACACAAGGATTTGTGTTCCATTTCTGTAAAATTTTAAAGAAAGGTTGGATGAAAGTTTGTCTGGCTGTACCTGCCTGTGTATCAGTGATGCTTGGCTTAGATGCTCCTTTGAGTTTCTTTTTGGTTGAAGTTCTGTAAATGCCGAGTAAAAAATGTATTTGTTAGATACCTGTTTCTTCACTTAAATAAGCCTGCAAAGTAAACATGCTATTTTAACATCTTGTGTTTATCATCTGCAGCTGGTCCTCTTCAGAGTTTGACTTGAATGAAATCCGCCTGATAGTTTACCAAGACTGCGAGAGGAGAGGCAGACAGGTCTTATTTGATTCCAAAGCAGTCCGCAAAATTGATGAAGCTGTGGCTCAGGTATGAAATGCTAATTTTGCTTTTGTCCTACCACTCTTTGTTTCCCTTCCCGAAAGCATGAATTTCAAAATGGTTGTGTCAACTTCTTAATCTTACAATCTTTCACTTGATTTGGATTCTGCAATAGTTGCAACAAGAGTGTGTTAGGTTTCAAGAAGCCTATGAACACGTATCTGGTATTTAGTATTTATAATGTAAATATGGTATTGAAACTTCACAACTTAGACCTGATTTGTTTTCAAGCAAAGCAATCTATACCCCTTTAAACTGAGTATTTTCTCAGCTTTTTTAGTGTCGCCTGGGATTGCTTTTTGTTGTTAGCCCTGGTTGTATAGTCCCACTGTTCCACTGGTGTCTGGCTTGTCTCTAAGTATGCTTGTCTTCTTGTGGTGTTTAGATTAGTAAAGTTGTTGGCTTTATGTGAATTAAAACAACTCCAGTTATGCTAACTGTGCCATGATGTGCAAGACTGACGCATGGTGCTATATGGCCACATAAGTTTTGGTGACACATGTAGAAGCAGGAGTAGATGCTGTCAAGATGCAAATTCTCTGTGCTGCTCTCCAGACACAGAAATTGTTGAGTAATGCTTCCAGCAAACTTAGTTGATTTTAAAAGAAGTAAACCAGTAGTATTTTCTGTTTTGTGGTTGGTTTGGTTTGGGGTTGGGTTTTTTTTTTGTTGTATTCTGCTTTGGGGGTGGTTTTTTTGGTGTTTTGGTTTCGTTTTTTTTTTTAGCCTCTATAAGCAGCAGCTTCAGCCTGTCAGACTAGCATAATTTATTGTAGAATCACTAGCTATATATGGATAATTGTGACTTGTAGAAATTATTTATGAAGATGCTTAAAACCCAGCAATCACTATTTCAGTAATACTGCAAAAATGCCCTTGTACCAAATCAGTAAGACTGATGAGGATCATCAGCTGATGACTGATCATCTACTTAAGAGGGTAAATGGGTCAGACTGCCCTATTAATCTTGCTCTTGCCTTCCCTGCCCCCATCCAAATCAAGGTTGTTACTTTGTATTGTGAAGTTGGTTTAAAGCACCAGCTCCTGAGGAAGAAATATTCTGGCTTCATTTAAATAGTCAATTTATTCTGCTTGTTTGAATACTTTAAGCCAGAAGTTAACGACGAAATGTCCTATCAAAAACTCTATGCAACACTGACAAAACAGATTATAACCTCCCTTGTAACACATGATACAGTCACACTGGAATTAGATGAGCAATAACACATAAATACTATGCCAGAAAAAACTGCACAAAAGGAGTGCAAATACAGAATAAAATATAGTAGTCCAGGATTTTACTTTTTTTAACAATGCTAATAGGCTTATTTTTAGATTGGTAAAGAAGCTGTACTATTGCTGCAGTTTAAACTCAACTTCAAAAAAAAAAAAACAACAAACCAAAACAAAACAGATCTGTGCCATTTTTCTTGTCTTGGTCTTCCTCTTTTTCTTCTGCATCTTCTGCCCATTTCATCATTTGTCATTGTGACTTGAGTATTGTAAAACTTACTACAGTTACTGCACTGTAGTATTTAACTTGTTCATCTTAAAAACTAGGTTTTTTTTCTTGTGGAATACTGGATTTTACTTTTATTTCCTCTTAATTTCCTGTTATTGTTCCTTTTTCATCTTGATTAGTAGAAAATACGGGATATAAAATTTAGCTGTGGCTCCTTCTTACTAGCATCAAGGTTCTTACTATTTCTTTTTGCCTGGTTGTTTGTTTTTTTTTCTGTAAACTATCTACATGGACCTTGTTGACGTCTTAAGAAAATCTACTTGATCTATGCCAAGGCATATTCCCAATGAGGTAAATCGTGCTGGTACTAAACGAGTCTTATCCCTTCATTTCAACATGCACTGAATGCATGTTTACATTAATACACATTAAATATATGTTCATTAAAGGATCTTGAATTTCTTATATATAAAAACTTCAAGAGTGTGAGATAAGCTTCCCAAGACTTGTCTAAGCAGTCTTCATTGCTGCAAGGTTACAGTTTTTCTCCCTTCATATAAATAATTTTAAGTGCATTTGAGAAATATATTTGAAATAATGTGGCCCTTTCAACTGACATCTAATGATATCCATGTTGGAAAAAAACCCACCAGCCATTAAAGAAAGCAAGAAACAGATTGGTTTTTGTTCAAGAAAACTTCATTAAGCAAATGCCAGTGATTTAAATGCAGCTTTAATTATGAAGCACGTATGAATAGCGTTAATATAATTAGTGTGTTTCTGAGACTTCCTTTACACCTTTCCGATCAGTTCTAAGATACTGTTAAAACATGTTGTGACTCTAGAGTAAACTTTGAATTAAACAGTTGTCTGGATTTAAGCATTCATTTGCTTGCCTTTTTTTTAATACAGCTCCCTTATAGCTTTAACAAATAGGTTTTATAACCTGGTGACTATCAAATGGTGCATTATTCAGCCCTTGTTTTTGCTGGCTGATCTTCTGCTTAAGAAATCTGTTGATCAGTTGGGGAGAAAAAGTTATATGCAATTTGAATGATTAATTGTGCAAATGGTTACAAAAACTGGTCTGTGAGCAACCCATAAGCTGAGATTTTATCTACATAAACTTTGGCAAATGTTACACAGAGCACTTCGTAACAGTTGAGAATGTTCTTGCAGTGGAGCTTTGACTAATGACTTTGTTGTGGGATAGCTGTGAAAATTTGTCTGATAACATAAATGTGGGAGTAGTTCTGCACTTTCTCTGATGGTGGCCTTTAAAAAAAAATCTTTTAAAACTGATATGTATTTTTTGAATCAAATAAGAGTAATATTTATTACTGTTGCTGACCTGTATTTTAAGAAAAATCTTGCCATGGTATGTTTACAGATAGGAGTTCTCATGTTTGCTTTAATTGTTTTCATCACATTATTCTGTTTTGACACAGAAAATGGCAGAGGATGCTTCTGTAAAGACTTCTGTAAAGAACTGCCAAGCAAGCAATGGGAGCAACAATAATTCTCCCCATAGTCCCTCAGTAAGCTGTATGCAAAATATCAAAGAACAGATATCAAAGTATCAGGTAATGTTCATTACTTGCATGTATTTATCCATCTCACTGAAGAAGTTTATATATAAAGACTTAACTTACATGCATTGAATGCCTAGTTACACTTCTAGTATATTCTCAACTGAACCTTGAGATATCATAGAATGGTTTAGGTTGGAAGGGACCTTAAAGATCATCCAGTCCAACCCCTTTGCTATGGGCAGGGACACCTCCCACTAGACCAGGTTGCTCAAAGCCTTGTCCAACCTGCCTTTGAACATCTCCAGGGAGGGGGCATCCACAATTTCCCTGGGCAACCTATGCCAGTGTCTTACCACCCACATAGTACAGAATTCTAAATCTGGCCTCATCCAGTTTAATAGGACCCCTGTCCTATTGCGACCTGCCCTTGTAAGAAGTCCCTACCCAGCTTTCCTGTAGGCTCCTTCAGGGACTGGAAGGCCACAATAAGGTCCCCCCGGAGCCTTCTTTTCTCCAGGCTGAACAGCCCCAACTCTCTCAGCCGGCCCTCATAGTGGGGGTGCTCCAGCCCTCTGATCATCTTTGCGGCCCTCCTCTGGACCCACTCCAACAGCTCAATGTCTTTCTTATGTTGGGGACCCCAGAACTGGATGCGGTACTCCAGATGGGGTCTCACAAGAGCAGAGTAGAGGGGCAGAATCACCTCACTTGACCTGCCTTTTGATGCGGCCCGGGATGTGGTTGGCCTTCTGGGCTGCAACCACACATTGCCGACTCATGTTGAGTTTTCCATGGCCCGATACCCCCAAGTCCTTCTCCTCAGGACTGCTCTTGAGCCATTCTCCACCCTGTCTTTATTTATACTTTTATATATTTATATATATAAATATATGAATATTTATATCTACTCAGTCTTTTTAGTGTTGTAGAGTAAGAATATGTGGGTACATCTTAACCTTTTGGTCTGTCTTGGTCTTGTCTTTGAAAGAGTTACAGAAGATATTTAATAGCATTATTATTCGTGAAGGTAATGAAAAGCACTATACCATTCTTGTTTTGAAAGATGTCTACCTATGCTTCAGATCAGTTCTGAAGAAGCTGTTGAACATGTTATATTAAGAGTCCTTTCAATCTGTCTTAGTACAACATGAAATTTTTAGGAGATCCTTTTTTTTTTAGTTACTTTGGCTGTTTCTCAGTTAAAACATGAACATTTCATCTACAAAAATGTAATCTGAAGCATGTATAGATTAAGGGAGAAAAAAATTGCTGTTTAACTAGAAGGTAAGTGATTTCCTTCAGAATTAACAAACTTCTTCCCATATTTGCTATTCATTATCAATCTTTACAACAAAATAAGAAATCAGTCTGATTATACTTAGAAACATAGTCTTCACAAATGGTTTTCTAATAAAAAAATGTTTCCAAGAAGCTTTCTGTAAGGACAGGGAAAGAACATTTACTCATTTGATCCAGGAAGACAGTTTAATGCTTGGAAATCCAGATCACAGGAACTCTAAGTCCTGTAATACCTACAGTTTCATCAAACACACTGTTATATGGGCATGTTGCTGAACACAGCTATTTCTTTGGTAATGCTGTATATCTTTTATCTTCTTTCTTGCCTTTGGAGGTCCCTGTGGAACAAGGGTAAAAATGCCTATCTAGTGAGCAAATTAGAGTACATTCTCCAGTTGCACTTGTTTTTACTTGCACTCAGTGTGTCAGAACCACATGGGATCTTAGTCTGCATGGAAAAGCAGAACTTATTTGTATTCTCTGTCAGAAATATAGCATGATAGTACTATATTAAATTGAAATAGTATGCCAAGTTATTGACTTTGCTTTTCCCATCTTCCTGTCTGTGTAGTACACCAGACCAGCCTCTGATGTCAATATGCTGGGAGAAATGATGTTTGGCTCAGTAGCAATGAGTTATAAAGGCTCCACCTTGAAAATTCACTATATACGGTGAGTGTCCTTTTCTGTGACACACTCTGTCATCAGGCACTTGGAATCAATGACTCACTGAAATGACTGTTTATCCTTTCAGCTCTCCCCCACAGCTGATGATAAGTAAAGTCTTCTCAGCCAGGGTAGGAAGCTTCAGTGGAAGCAACAATTAGTAAGAACATTTTTTTTTTCTTCCCCATCTAATGCAGTTGTCTTTCCTTTATCCTTTCATAGTCCTTCTGTCACTGCTTCTAAATGTGACTTAGCTGAAGTTTAAAAGTCTAGTAGAAAATCAGATATTATGGCTGTGGAGAAGGATTCTCTTGATAGACACCAGCCAGGCCACCCAAGTTTAAAAAATTACATCTCTCCTACTTTCTGCTTCTTAATTTGTCCAGGGCATGCAATAAACTTTCAGAGGATAGGTGCTTTAGACAATCAAAGCCTCTTTCTCTTCCTGCTGCCAAAAGGGTGAAGAAAGAGTATGTGTGGAGGAAGCTTTGTATCTCTCTACCCCACTTCTCTTTCCTTCAACAATGACAGAAGATACACTGTCTCATCTGTTTCCTTTCTCCTTGTCCCAAAAATGAGCAAATAAGAATAAAGTAAATCCAAAGCATGACATACAGAAACTTATAGTAATTCAAAGGAGGAGCTTATATTGAAAGTAAACGCCTGTTTCCTTATATTGAGTTGGCCAAAAAGTAATAGCTTTTTTCTTTGATGGACATGTGTCTTGAAATGTGACTAACTTCATTTTA